TATGGTAAAAATAAAAATGAACAGTGAGTAATAATTTGTTAAGGTTTAATTATTTACGAATAAAAAATTTTCGTTTTTTAGAACCAACAGTTCTGCTTTCATTGTCCAATGAACTTTTACTCTATCATATTTTTATTTATCTTCATTCAACAGATCTATTACATGCGTTTGGTCAATTGTACAATCGTCGTTTGAATGTCCTTCTTTGCGCACATATTCATCATATTGATTTGTCAAGAATTGATACATCTGTTGTTTCAATTGATAGATGCTTGTCTTATTTATCATCGTTCGAGAACAATACAATTTTATCACTTCGAATTAATCTTGATCATTTCGATTATCGTCTTTCTTCCATATTTCCAAGACTCAACCGTCTTGATCTTCAGATGACAACGGTCTCTGAAAAAGTATTTGAAATGATTACATTCACTCGACTCAAAACATTTTCAGTCACTTTGACTTCGGAAAAACCTGAAAGAATTAAAGGGTTGGTTTCGTTTATATGGCATCCTGATAGTTGTCTAGAAAGTTTATCAACCTCAAATTGTTTTGTATTGGATAAAGATGATCTTTTCCCAATATCATTACGCTCTCTCTTGATCAATCAAAATCTCACTCGTTTATCAGTTGACTTAGGTCATATTTGTTTTGCCATTCTTTTAATGCCGTTTGTACCTAATCTTGAATATTTTGAACTTCGTCTTCATAGTGTTTACAGTACAGTTTCATGTTTCAAGTTTGAATTCTTGCAAGAACAGCAATGGCCAACAAAAGTTAAATTATTACGACTTATCGCTTATGATCAGTTCATGGATACACATTGTTTCTGCGCCTTTGTTAAAAGGTTTTCTTTATCACTCCACCATCTGTCATTCTACATCAGTATTGGGTACTGTTTTCTGATGGCGACACGGCGCAAGTTCGAGCGACATTTACTCGATTATTTACCACATTTGAAATCGATCGATTTTTGTGTCCACAGTGGTTTATTGAGTTTGGAAATCGATCGTCGTCATGCATTTGACCGTTGGACAAGAAAGCAAGTCGTTTCAATACATCATTTGTATCAATATCTTACACGATTCACAATACCATTCTCTTTCGATCGACTTGAGCATGTAACTAATGATTTTGTTGACTATCACTGCAATTATCCTCAATCCAATGTCATTTTATCTCTTCCATCAATTCTCATGATTAGTTTTCGTTCTAACGATAAATTAAATCTTGCTCTATTCTCGTTTATACGGAAGACATGTCCTTCTCTACGTCATCTTCGTTTTAGATGGGACTGTAAGTTAAGTGATGATCTTATTCAGAACACACAATTAACGTTACCAACAGTTACAGAACTTTATCTTGGTGATGTTACATCTATCGATTTTCCTACTCTAAATCGTATTCTCACTCTGACATCTAATCTGAAACATTTAACTGCTCGACGAAGTCATATTACTGTCATCAATACCGTGAACAACAATGATAATGTTCTCGGACGTATACCTAAAGTAACAATAGTCGAATATAATTCACAGATGAACAACATTTAGGACAATCAATTATATATTTTTCCTTGAATAAGTAATTAACATAAAGTTTTAACCAATTAATTAATTATGATATAGAATGAAAAAGAACACCAAGAAAAGTCTTGGCTTTGCTTAATAGAAATTCGAGTCTCGTTAGCATTTAATTTGTTTTTATAGGCACTATTGTTCTTGTTGGTTTTAAATTAAAGTGCTTCTTCATATTAGATCATTGTATTCTAAAGAACCATTGTTCGCAACTGTAGAATTTATAATATTCTAAATAATTCGATAGTTATATAAATAACCAAATCTAATATTTTATTTTTCTGTATCATTTTCGTGTAAAAAAATTACTTACATATTTTCTTAAAATAAAGTATTAACTATAAGTGTACATTGTGATATGGATATTTAAATTATTTTTATAATTATTTGATATTTAGTTGATTTCTGATAGATTTTTATGGATTAAGAACGCAAAAAAAGTAATACTAACGCTACTAGGATAACTTTCTCTTCTTTAATATTTAATGATCTTTTAATTACAAAATATACTGAAGAAAGTATAGAAATCAATGCTACGGAGAAGCTGAGGCACCGTTATCCATGCAACAATCAAAGTCAGTCGCGCTTACATAATACGAAAAACATTCTATAACTTTGATTATTTATTTGATTAAACTAGCATCAAAGTACATCAGTTGAGTGATGTCAAAACATCAATACGCCCGGTAATGGAATTGATTATTGTAATATTCTAGATAAAAGTCACTTATATATGTTAGACATTATCGCACAAACTAATGATATAGATACCCAAAGACTAACTACATAGGACACTACAAAAGTTTCTTCGGTCGGCTCTTCTAAAGGGTGTTTTCTATTCAACAGTTCACACAATTGTTGATTAGTATTCTAACATATTGTAGGAAAAAACCATAAATCCCACATATGTTATTATTAGATATTTAATATTGTATCTATTGATATCAATAAAAAAATTTTAATAATTCCTCCAAAAGCATTAATGCAAAAATATAATTAAAATGTTAATATAATTTTTTTGTTTCAAGAATATAAATATGTTAAGACAATAAGAATAAAATATTCCAAATAAAAATGATACAAGGGGAAACAGCAGAAACTTCAGCCTGGAAGTCTCAAGAAGTCTTTTGAAATCTTGAAATCAACTGTTTACCTATTGAAGTAATATATAATATCAAGGTATTTCACTTTTTAATCACAATGTATTCATTTAAAATAAAATAAACAACTAAAGAACTGTTGAATAAACTATTGAAGTTCATCGAACATTTAATCAAAATGTGTTAACGTTTCATAAAAAGAAGCAAAATCTAATCCAAGAATTCTAAGTAATAAATTCATTAAAAGAAATCTTTTTTTTAGTATTATTTAAAAAACCTAGCATTATCAATATTATTGATAATATACACATTAAAAAAACTTGATAAATAATTTTAAAATTCATCGATACATTTACTTGTAACATAATTTCGCTTACATTAATCAATGAAACTTGCTACAGGAGACTAATAATTAATATTTCTGTCAAGTTTATTTACAAAACATTTAATATCAAATGAATTTTCACGAATAATTTACTCTTGTACTCCTAGCAGCGTTCCCGAGTATTTTTGAGAGCCGAGGAGCTAAAGATTTGGCAGAAAGTTCATAATTTTTTTTTCGCAGAACGTCAGTGTTATTTCTGTTAAATCTCTCACAGAAAATCGATATTATCTGCACCAAATTTCCTGTAAAAATTCCGAATTTTAGTAGAAAAATCGACAGAAAGAACAGCGAGTTTTCGAGTGATCTTTAGCAGAAAGAGTATTGGCTTTCTGTTAACAATTTGGTAGTAAAGAGTTCGATTTTCTGGGAGATATTTAGCATATAGAACATCGACTTCCTGCAAGAATGTGTCTAGTTTGCTTTTCTTCCAGTAAATTTAGAAATTTTTTACTAAATCGAACCATCAAAATGTCGCAGAAAGCATTATCAAAACGTTTGGCAGAAAGTCTGAAATTTTTCGGAGGGAAATCCCTCACCCTGAATACATATCTTAGAATAGAGTTCTAGTTAAAAGATGAATAGTTGTATAGTGAAGCTTAAATTTTTAATAAATCAATAAAATATTCAACTAATTATATATGATATATCTATATATAAAGTTAGTTTTATTAAGCACTATTTGATTAATTTCAAATGAAAAAGCTGTTTGAATATATCAACCCATATGTTCAATAAGCAAAGTCTATTTGAATAAAATGACCTAAACCATATAAAAATTTTCTTTCATGCTCATTTTCTATTCAACTAAAAATCTTCATAATTGATTTTCTTTTATATCACACAACCAATTTATCATTTCAAATGTTTCTACATGTCTAATCAATCTCATAACATTTCAATAAATTTCAAAAATATTTGAAAAAACTTTTTTGTACAAACAAAAGAAAATCAGTTTTTTTAATCAAAAGAGTGATGCTTCTTCAACTCTTAACAATAAATTATTGAATATGTTTTTAAAATAATCACCATTAAATGATGGACCAATGAATCTTGGATTTCCAACATTCAATATTACTAGTTTAAAAAAATCATCAAAATGTGGTAATTTATAAGCACTTGAGCATATGCATGCTCGAAAGTCTTTTGATATTGGATTAAATTCATAGATTGCTTGGATTAATGAATCAGATCGTGTATTAAACAATTCCTCCTCTCGACCGGCATATTGCCAAATAATAAAACGATGAGGAGTTGATGATCGATCGTAAACGAGAGTAAAATCAACTATATAAGTATTTGGATCATCATCATCATCATCATCTTTATCTGTACCATCAGAATTTTTTGCTGGTAAATTAAAACCAATTAAATTCCATTTAATTTTACTTAAAAATAAATCGAATTCATGAGGTGGTAAACTACTATTTTCTTCCATTCTTGTATTGCATTGATTGCATACAAAATTAATTTTACTTTTTAATGTTATAAAATTATTATTATTCCAACCTCCAACTATAAAGATATTTTGTATCATTGGAGATGGTTCTAATTGATGAAGACGATTAAACGTGTTCATCAAAAAACTGTGTGCATCATTGATAGAACATGTTGATGAAGCATTAAAATTTTCAGAACTAACATGATCAATAAAAATTTTATCTTCCAGCCCAGAACGAGCATTACAGCAACCAGACACGGCAGTATACGGCCGTTTACGGCGTCGTATACTGCCGTATACGGCGATTTTACGGCCGTAAGCGGCCGTAAATTCGCCGTANNNCAAGAGAAGCAAGTAATGCAACAGCAAAGAAAATAAAAACTTTCTGTTCTGATTGTGATACTTTTTTTTGTCTTGATTGCTTTAATGAAAACTATCATTCTATGTAATAAATAACTTGAACAGTAGCAAGACCGACTAGATGACACACTACCTAATGTTTTCCACTGAACAACAAAGGAACAGAAACTGGTTTTCTATTAAGTTTCTTGTGAAGACCGAGCGGGTCCCACCGGTGGGACCCGTCGGGGTGAATGTGTTAAACAGTTTTACAGTAAGATTCGCACCGACTGTAGAGAATTACTAGTGTTATCTACTTGTGAAAACATCACTAATCTATCTTACAAGACTGAGGAGAAAACTGATTTTTACTAGCCCTATCTAAAATTGCTCGGGGTTTGCAATTGTTCCAAGTGGCGTCAATGCAAACAATTTGTAGGAACTACCAGAAAAACAACGATTGAACGAATTTGAGTAATCGATTCTTGATGATTTTTAGATGAGCTTGTAGAGGAGATGTCTCTCTATCTGTTTGAAGGAAAAGTAAAGAAAAAAAATTCCAAAAAATGCCTGAGTTATGATAGATACAAATGAAAAGAGTGATTTTTTGTTTGCAATGGCCCCACTCTACTCTATTTTAGTTCGCTCTTTTAAAGATTCTTTTCTAATAAAATCTCAAATCGTCTTGTGCATTTAGTTTATTCGAACAAATGAATAGAATTAGTTGCATTTTAATACAATGATAAGATGTGAATTTGATAAAGAAAAATAACTAATTGGACTTATTCATATGCTAGAAAATATATTTCTATTCGTTTCTATTTATTGTTATTTTGAAAGAACACTTTTATTCGTTCGTTGTTAACATAGAACGAATAAACAACATTTTTACTATAAAATAGAACATCTAGTCATTCTGAATTTGTTTAATAAATATCTAAGAATATAGTTCTAGTCAAAAGATGAATAGTTATGTAGAGAAGTTTAAATTTTCAATAAATCATTAAAATATTCAACTACATATATATAAAGTTAGTTTTATTAAGCACTATTTGATTTATTTCAAATGAAAAAGCTATTTGAATATATCAACCCATATGTTCAATAAACAAAGTCTATTTCAATAAAATGATCTAAACCATATAAAAATTTTCTTTGATGTTCATTTTTTATTCATCTAAATCTCCATAATTTATTTTCTTTCAAATCACACAACTAATTTATTATTTAAATTCTTTCTATGTATCTAATCACTTTTACAATATTTCAACAAATTTCAAAAGTACTTTAGAAAATTTTTTGTACAAACAAAAGAAAATCAGCCTTTTTCATCAAAAAAAGTGATGCCACTTCAACTCTTGACAATAAATCATTAAATTTTTTTTTCAAATAATCACTATTAAATAAAGGATAAATAAACTGGATTTTCAACATTCAATACTACTAGTTTGAAAAAATCATCATAATGTGGTGATTTATAAGCATTTGAGCATATGCATGCTCGGAGGTGCTTTGATGTTGGATCAAATTCATAGATTGCTTGAATGGATGAATCAGATCGTGGATCATGCATGTTCTTTTCTTGACCGGCATATTGCCAAATAATAAAAGTATGTGGAATCGATGATCGATCGTAGACGAGAGTAGAATCAACTATATAATTATTTGGACCATAATCGTCATCATCCTCTTTATCTTTACCATCAGGTTTTTTTTTCTGGTAAATTAAAACCAATTAAATTTAATTTAATTTTACTCAGAAATAAATCAAATTCATCAGATGGTAAACTACTATTTTCTTTCATTCTTGTATTACATTGATCACATATAATATTAAATTTTACTTTTTAATGTTATATAATTATTATTATTCCAACCTCCAACTATAAAGATATTTTGAATCATTGCAGATGGTTCTAATTGATGAAGATTATTAAATGTTGTCATAAAAAACCTACGTGCATCATCGATAGAACATGTTGCTGAAGCATTAAAGTTTTCAGGACTAAGATGATCAATAAAAATTTTATCTTCCAGTACTACGACAACTGTTATACACGATGCAACACCAGAAGTAGATAAAGCAAGTGTATCTATAGCATGTTTATCGACTTGTACATTTCGAATCAAAGCCATGTGTATCTTCTCGTTTTACAAAAACAATGTATACTGATATTCGTTTCTATTTTTCCCTTTGCTTATAAATATAGATTATTATTTCTTTCTATTCGTGTCGATTAACTATGGAAAAAATCACGTGTTTTTTTTTCATTCAAATTCTATTTGCATAATCAACTGTAGTCATATTTATAATAAAATCATCTACTCTACGCTATTACAAGAGACAATGACTTGAATTTAATAACCTTGCAGATGATCTCCTACTTCATAAATAATACTGGCAGAGGGAAAAAATACACTTAATTAACTAAAGTATATGAGATATAATAATGTAGAGAGAATCAAGTCTAAATAGAACTGATTTAGAATTAAATAATTGTATTTGATTTTTTTTCTTATCAAAATCTCTCTCTTTCTCTATACATTTTTTTTCTTCATTTCACATTTCACTCATTTTATAGACAATAGGAACAGACTTCATATGTATAAGAAAGAAAAAGAATCTAATAAGAAACACGTTTTATCTATATAATAAAGTACAAAATGATGTGAATTTATAATATTAAAATGAAAATAAGATTTTTCTTTGTAAGAAAACTGAAAAATCTTAGATATTTTGTTTAATACATAAGAAGGAATTTGTCCAACAAAACAAAATCAATCATATCAAAGTTTTGTCTATCATTGTCAATCAAGAAAGATAATATCAATGACATAGATTTTAATTGAATTCACATGACAATAAATTCTTAAAAGAATATAATCTCATTTTAAAACATAATTATTTATAATTAATTAAGTATTGATATATTTAGGAAAAAATATTTTCTGTTTCTATTTGAACGAAATAATAATTTTCTTCTCTTTCTTTTTTTTCTTATTGTCTCTACACGTGCACATGGTATAATATTTTTGTAGTACCAAGTGTTGCGTAACTTCTGCGATACCTTGCATTTAAATATAATTAATGAAGAGCAGTGCATCTTATAACCAAAGAAGTATAAATGAAAAATAGAGAAAACGATCATACCTAATAGAATGAAAAAAAATTAATTAGAATTATTGAAAAGTAGAGAATGAAAAGAGAGACCATGGTCTTGTTCGATTGTTTATAGCAGAGACCGAAAACGAATTGATCATGATCGAACTATGGTGATTCCAATCGACTCGAACTGAATACATCGACTTTCTGTGAGATTCTGTGAACAGATAGCATTTTTATTCGACTTTCTTCCGGAAAAATGGTAAATAAAACCTAAAAATCTGGTTTTTGCCAGAATTCACCACGAGGGTTTTAAAACTTTGGCAGAAAGTATTAGAAAATCTCCGAGAAAGTCGGATATATTTTCAAATTTTGGTGGAGACTAGACCTCAGCCCTCCCTAATCGGAAAGACTGCTTATAGAAACAAATGAAAAGAGAAAATGCATACGTTAGACCACTAGAAAAAATCTGCCTATCTTAGACATTCACACCAAGCCTTTATTGAAAATTATATATTAGTAAACATTTCTACATTTTAGTTTTGTTTTATAACTATGATTTTCATTTATTAACTTAGCAAAAAAGAAACTTTATATTGATATTAATTATCTAATCTAGTGAATATTTTTATGACTGAAAAATAATAAATTAACTGGAGGGTGTGGGTGTGGATGTGGATGTGAGTTGGCAGAAGAACTACACCCACACCCACACCCCACCCACACCTTTCAGGATTATAATCAGATTCAGGTTGGTTTTCATCAATCTTGCTTTCGGTTCTTTTTAAAGAGGATTTTCTATTGTTGTTATTGTTGTTGTTGTTGTTGTTGTTGTTGTTTTTCGTGTTATTGGAGAATTTAATTTGTTCATATGCTTGTTGAATGTTGCTATGATCGCACAATCGATCTTTAGCATCTTTGTTCATATTTGCAAAATAATTATAATTGCTCATGAAACTTGATGATTTTGATAATGAATGTGTGTTTAATATGTAGAAATAAATTATACACCAGTGTATGTACTTGTTAAGAAAAAGAGTACTGAGTCATAATCATATTTTACGTCACTAAGGAAACTGTGATCTAAAAGAGTTCAGAACTCAGAAGACCTGACCACCCTGATTATTATGAATTAAAAAGATTATTTTTATTTTATTCAAAATATTCTATGATGAATAATAATTGTTTTAAGAAAGCATACAAAAGTAAAATGAAATAATGAAGAAAGGAAACAAATATATTTGCACTATCTAGAAAATCATACTTGCGTTTCTGCTGTAATTATTAATACAAAAAGAAATTGTTGATCACGTTAAAAAATGCCGTTCTTTCCAAATATGCATGCAACAATAATAATTGATCACAGGAGGAGATCATAGATAAGTCAAATAATATTGAACAAAAGATAAATACATTATAAGGCGTATGTATTCACAATATATATCATAAGAGTACCTATGATCTGAAATAATAGAAAACCACATGGGTACGTTGAAAACATAGGTGTGTAAATCATATGCAATCATCAAGAAAGAAAAACAAAGACTTTATTTTATTCATAAAAAGAAACATTACGTGACACGTTTCCTACTGTAATGTTATTGATTAATCTGTTCACATGGATTTTACGTTTGTATTTAATTACTTATTCTAATTTTAAGAATTAATCTTCAGAATTTTTAGAATATATTTCTATTAATTAAGAACTTTTATCAAGTAAATCTTTCATCGTAAATCGACGTATATCAACATTGGCATAAGGGTGGGTGTGGGTGAAATCGGTTTTAGTTGAGTATCATAATGATTAGAAGGTAATTCTTTAGATTTGTTGTTATAATGATGATGATGATGATGATCATATAGTGTTCGTATTGGTGTCCTTTTCTTCTAAGAGGTGGACACCGAAAAGTAAATACATTTTATGGCGAATAACACTCACTTGAATAAATAGTACAGTATGAGATTTAATCTTTAAGTACATGTTTTCCTTATCTATCTAATTCGGAAGTGAATATCTTTGATCAAAATTCTTGTATTATCACACCGACTGAAGAATGGTGGCATATATATTTAGAAATATAGGATTCTGTTTGGAGTATCAGCATATACAGTAAGTGTCAAAATTATTCAACTGGATTTCGTCAGATTATATTCTATAGTGTCAAGTATATTAGAAAAAAAAATTTAGATGAATTCATTGGCCTGTTTAGTTTTTATTGACGATAGAATCACATCTTGCCATTTTTCATTCTTCCAAAAGTATCCAACTACTCATTTTGTCAATTGTAACAAAATATCATTAGCGAGAGCAGTGTAAATCACGTCAAATATTCTATTTGAATAGAAATTTCATGTTGAAAAATTTTATTCATTTGCACATACAAAAACTCGTCTACAGTATTGTCTGTGATGACGGATTTGTAAAAAGATCAAACCTTACTATGTTTTGTTGGGATTTTCTTAACTGAATCTTATTCTGCTGGAATTGCATTTTAACTGAAACGCCATGAGCGGCTCTAAATAGTCCTGCATCTCCTACTAATCACCGCTGAACATAGAGTTAAAAGAAGGCCGCCTGAAATAATCTACAGGTCTGTATAGACCGATATTTCATGGATTTACTACCTTGACAACGTTCTATTTAGCTCATTGTTGTTCAAAAAGATGAAGATTTTACATCTTTTTCGATCCATACAGAAAATAATATCAAGTTGAATTGATCACACAAAATAATAATCCACTAGGCTAAGTAACCAATTGCGAGTCATTGGATTCTCACAAAATATTTCACTAGTAAATGAGTACTACTGACCGCTTCCTTCGTAAAAGATCAATGTTTACGTGATTCACAGAAAGCAAACAAAATTCAAACAGTTGTTGATTCTTGTTTCCTAAAGTATTTGTCTTCATAATGAGCATACAAGCAAGTTGATAGTGTTGGTGTATGTAAGCTATCCTAAATTCGATTTTCTCAGTGATCACTTTTTGTGTTTAACCAATGGAAAATATGCTTTTTATGTACATGGGCACTTCTTTAATACAAATATGCTAATTCTTCCTCTCCGTCAAATGAACGTCAGAGATGTTGTACTCTTGCACAAATCTTTTTTTCCAGATTTAGTTAGGTAAAGTAATTTTTCAGTTTTTCAACGTTCTTGAAGCTTGAAGGTTTCTTTCGATCAACATTCCAAGTCAACCGCTAGTCCTTCGTCGGTACTCCTTTGGGACGCCACTCATGGCTAGCTGTTCACTTGCTTAGGTCTACTTCTTCAAAAGATCATACACTTTATGTAAAATATAACCGATAGATATTTGCCTTTTTTTAAAAAAATACTTGAATTTATAACAGAAGACTTCTCGAAGGAAACTGAAAAACACTACGGGCTATTCTGCAACTATCTATGGATAGCGAATCCTGTCTCGACACCTATGGATTATGATTCCTATAACCCTCCCTTCAGTCGAGGAAACAGAGGTATATTCATTCAGAAAAGTTCGATTAATCTCTAGATAATATTCATTTAATTCTTATTGCTATACTTTATTGTAGAAAGAAAAAAAAATAAGTAAAGAATATACATATATATCTTTGTTTCAGAAACACATGAATGTCAACTGTAGTGTATAGCGTACGAATTGTTTTAACTATCTGATATTCTGTTTCAAAAATGAATATGACCATCTTGATTGCATCTCTTCTAGGTACTCGAAGTTCTAAGGAGACAGTTTTCGATTAGTTCAATCCTCTAAAGTAATATAATTTACCGAACATCTTTACATGACAATAGTGACATAGACAAAGCAAAAATCGATACATTACTTTATATTTTCTTGTTGTCATTTTGAAATAAAAACAAAAGATTTACTTTTACTATTATGTTATATGATAGACATAGGCTTAAATGAAAATTTTCAGATCTCAACTTCTCCCAATAGAGAAAAAACAATCGAGGAGAAACTAAGAAAAGAAGAACCTCATTTTCTTACAACTATGTAACAATCAGATTTTCGGTAAGTTATTATTGAAGTTCGAAAGAAAGAGAAACATATAAAAATGAATAATGAAGAGTTTTATCGATCTTCTTCAATCATACCGAGTAGAAAACAAATAATATGGTGATGTCGAATTTCAGAAATATTCGGATAACTCTTTTTAAACATTGTATCAATAATATTCTGTAAATCGTCACAATGTCTATTAGAATTAGTACGAATTTTGGTTCAGCATTATTTACTTCAGAACAAATACGTTGATAAATACTATTATATAGTGATGATTCCATCTGTTATATAATAATCTGAATAGAATTTTCAGCACAGAAAAAAAAGAAAACCAATAGGATATTTGATTTGACATCGAATTGTTCAATAGAACATGTCTGTCTGTCGTAGGAACAAACGTCACAATGAAAAAAAAACTTTTTCGTTAACAGCAAGACAAAAATTCAAGAAATAATGTCTTTTTTATTGAAGTAAACGCATAATTTTAATGAGAAAATAAATAAATATAATAAAATACAGCTAAATCTTCTTTTGTTAAAAAATCTTATCACTTTTCCAACATGAGCTGTACGATCAGTACGATGTAAATAATCTAAAATAATCAAAATTATATCCATTTCCTTTTTTTATGAAATCTTTTTATGTTGTTTACCTTGAATTGTCTTAGCCATATCATAATTTATAGAAGTGAAACATCTTTTATATCAATAATGCGATCAGTAACATGTGTTACAACAAGAAATTTTTTTGACCTTGTTCACTCTAATAGAAATAAACAAAAAAGAATACAATTATTTTGTTTTAATAAAAAGTTCAAGAATTTCAAGTAATTTATTACGTGTGTCATTTTCTTAACACTTAATGATAATTTACTCAACACGTTCAGCTGATTTACCAATTCAACCAATATAAACAGATGTTAAACGTTCGATAACTGATGTCATTGTTCCTGTAAACATCATTGTTGGACGATATTTATCTTTTGAAGCAAAATCTTTTAACATAAAAGAAAGAAAAATATTCTTTTTTCTTGTTATCTTGTATTTTCTATAAGTTCGTCATGGTTTTTTTTTTATTTGTGACTGTTAAATATTCAAGAATACGTTTGATATCAATATCTTCAAAGAAAGTTCTTTTTATTCCTTTCATTAACAAGACAATCATTATATCTATCAACTGTTGATAATGATCGAATTCAAGCAAGTAAAGGTATAACTGTGAAAAATCTCTGTTAGAATATTGTTATTTTCTACGGATAACCAACCGACTGGAAAACGTTCGGTCTTATTTATTTTTGCAATTCAAACAGAAACTTTTCTTCTTTCCACTGACGCTCTACATTTCTGCTGTTTGTCTTATTGCTCTTCACTTTCGTCTTCTGTTTTTTAATTACTATTTTAAACATTGATTTAACTTGTAATTAAGTCTGTTGTATGTATCTACTAACGTTATAAAATGATTAATTCACTCTTTTTAGGCAAATCAATGAACCATTACCTATTATCCTTTATATCTGAAATTTAAATCTTCATGTTCACAAACAACAAAAAACTGAACTATTTAAAATATTCACAAACGTATTTCAGCCATTCAAATTTCGACGAAGGCTTTGAATGGTTTTAGAACAGTCTAACCGTAAGTTCTGTCGTTACTAGGGAAAACATGTTCATTGATCTCTGACATTTAAATCTGGTTGCTCACATCCAAGGGGAGAGCAGCAAAAATCTCGATTTAAACTTGCATTGAATATTTTCTTCGAAAATAAATGTGAGTCCCCCAAAACAAAGTTTTCTTTCACTTTAGAAAAATAAAATTACCTTACAAACCAGCAGCTTTAGTAACATCAAGAATGCCTTTTTCAAGTCCAGCTTCATCCCATGATCGAAATCCATGTGGAATATTTGCATCAATGACATTCATCGTGATGTTTTTCATCTTTTTCTCGATCAGACTGAAAACAAGCTCTAAAAAGTACTATTCGTTTTCTTTGATATCGATCATTTACGGTACTCAATCTTTTCTTCCTTGTGTACGTCGTTTCTTGCTCGACCTGTTTGATCATCTTTTGTAGCTGTTTGTTCAGCTTCCTTTTTGAATGAAGTATATTTTTTACGCAATTCTTCATTACGTTGACGAATAGCTTCAGCTTCTACTTGTCGTCGTCGTAATGCCACAGCTTCATGTTCTTCTTTAGTTACAAATTTGGGACTGAAGAAAAAAGTTGATTAATGCATAAAAATAATTTCTAGTCATCAATACATCATGTCTAATAATTATTAATATAGACATTGTTAAATACTGAACTAGAGATATGTGTTGCTTAGTGTTATGACTGACGAAAAAGAACGATAAATAATGAGGAAGCTGCCCGAATGTGCTCATTAGAGCCTAGGGATTTCGAAAAAGTTTTGCTAGTAACAGGGGAGACTGATTCAGTATTACATAAACTAAAATCAGAGAAATCAATTTACCATTGTAGCAGCAATAAACTATGCGTATTTTTAGGATCCGGATAGTAAGAGAAGTCAAAAATAGCTAAAAGTATTAAACGAGCTTTTTGTTATCAAAGACAGCTTTTCGTCTGAAGAATCATTTTTTCCAAATAAAAAACGTTATGGGTTCTTCAGCTGTGTTCTATCGTAGTAAGAAATCAAACAAAATATTGTATTTTTAAAGCTGATTCTTCTAAAAATGACCTTCATGAAATATAGTAAAATTGTTCTAACTCTAACTAAGAACGAGACTTTGAAGTTAAAATTTCTCTTCTTGTGTAACTATGCACCTAAAACTATTACAAAAGACTTCAGCTCAGTATAATGCTTTATTAACGAAAAGATTATACACATGAAAAGTAGTCATGATTTTCTCATGCTTTCTCTTTGTTGTTTTATCTTTCGACATTGTTTTTCAAAAATAATATAGATTAACAATCTCGAAAAAGAAAACGAAATATAATTTACGAATTTCTAGAAAAAATTATTACTTCAGTTATATGGTATACTATTATTAGACCACCGTTTTCAAAAATACTTTTTACGAACCGAAATTGGAACCGTT